AGGGAGGTGATCCTGCCCCTCTACTCAGCCCTGGTGAGGCCGCATCTGGAGTATTGTGTCCAGTTCTGGGCTCCACAGTATAAGAGGGATGTGGAGCTTCTGGAGAGAGTCCAGCGCAGGGCCACAAGGATGATCAGGGGCCTGGAACATCTGCCCTGTGAGGAGAGGCTGAGGGAGCTGGGCCTGTTCAGCCTGGAGAAGAGAAGGCTGAGAGGGGATCTAATCAGCGTATACAAATACCTCAAAGGAGGCAGTGAGGAGGATGGTGCTGGCCTCTTTTCAGTGGTGGCCACTGACAGAACTAGAGCTAATGGCCACAAACTGAAGCATCAAAAGTTCCACAGGAACTTAAGGAAAAATTTCTTAACAGTGAGGGTGACAGAGCACTGGAACAGGCTGCCCAGAGAGGTTGTGGAGTCTCCTTCTCTGGAGATCTTCAAAACCAGCTTGGACGCAGTCCTGTGCCACGTGCTCTAGGTGACCCTGCGTGTGCAGGGGGGTTGGACTAGATGATCTCTAGAGGTCCCTTCCAACCTTAAGCATTCTATTCTATTCTATGATTCTCTGAGGGCTGCACAAATACAAAAATCCCAATTTCTCTTATTTTCTCAAGAAAAACTCAGTGTGAATACTTTGACAATCCTCCTTAGTCCAACTTTTAGCCAATACAGAAGGGATTACTATATCTGCTTATTTTGCCCTTTTGTACAGATACACTACTAAAATTGACAGATGTAAAAAGATGTAAAAGAGATGTAAAAGATGTAAAAAATTATGCAAGGAACTGTCTCGGAAGACCTTTTTTTTTAAAAAAAAAGTGAATTATCTGAAATGTAATTTGTATCTGAGAAGACAACAAGAAAACTGAAGTGAAAAAAAATTCTTTGTAGAGCACAAATTCTGTCTATGTTAGACCCAAAACAAACCACCTCTTTCTTATCTCATTCATGTATGTCATATATTCAAAACATTTCCATGTATCTGCTCTTAACTCCCTATTGCAAAACAACACTGTTCCTGACTTTTCCAGAACTAGGCTTTACTGTAAATGCACAAAAATGACCTGTTCCATAGCAGCTTTTGGTTGACTAAACACTGTGGTGTTTACACCCCCTTTGCACGGCTGATGGAGCCGTGACAAGCCTGAGGAGCAACAGAGCGAAGCAAGCGCAGCCAGAGCAGGGGAGCAAGGGCAGCAGCTGGCTGGCTGCTTTTTGGAAAACAACTAACAAATGAGCAGCGCTAGCTGAAGCTGGAAAGAAGCAGCATCTGTGTGCTGGCTGGCACAGGGAGGAGCTTTCTGATGGATGCAGCGATAATATGGGAGCAAGAGGGATGCATGGGCAGGTTGGGAAGTGCTGCAGAGCCAGATTGCTCCATCTAAAGAGGAGACCGAATGGTTTCTGCTGTTCCTGATGTATTTTTGCATAATCATAAGCAAGTTAGTGAATTAATCAACCCAGAAGTAATTTGGAATCGCTCTTCTGTCCCCACGGCTGGATCGTGAAAGGCTTCAAGGATGTATCCAGTGCACTGTTACTGATGGTATGCAAATTCTCCCAGCACGTAGGCTGAGAAAACTGCTGCTGGGAATGAAAATATTGCCTCTAAAGAACACATATGTGCAAAGTATTCCAATAAAAAAAATGTTTTAAGTATGAGTTTGCAGTACAAGTGTGCATACCCACCAGAACTTACCTGTTTCTCTGGTGTGGAGGCGGGTACTGGGGTACCTGGAGGGACTGCTGGTGGGGGTGGATCCTCAACAGGACCTCTTGCGATTACCAGTTTCACTCGGTTTCCACACTGTCTCAGAACTTGGGCCACCTGCTCACTGCTCATTCCAGCCAGGTCCGTGTCACCAATTTTCAAGATGTGGTCTCCACTGCATAATCTGCCATGCTGGAGAAAGCAGCCAGTGAGTTATAACAACTGTGAATAAATAGTCTGTAGCACTCTGACATTTCCCTCCGGTATATCACCGAAATTTCAATCAAAACAACAGTCTTATTAGAAAAATATTACATGGATGCTGTAACTTTTAAGATATGTCTAAGTAGCTTTAACTTTTGAATGTCATGCCAAAATCCTGATAGCACACAGAAGTAGGTTACCAAAGGGCATACTACTTCTACAACAGACTTTCACAGAAATATTGAGAACAAATATGTTTTCAAGTAGACACGCTAAAAAAAAAAGGGAAAAAACCCTTTCAATTACGGCTACTACTTGCTAATATTTAAAAAACATATGTGTACATTACAGAATTCCAGGTTTCACCTCCATAGGAGAGCATGTACAAGCACATTCAAGCTTTACGCTCTTATTTAAAAATCTGTCCTCAAGATTAGGTTCCACAAAAAAAAAAAAAAAAAAACACATTTCTCACTTGCAGTGATCTGGTTGTGGATACTGCTTTGTACTGTTTTATTCTCTTATTGATTCATTTTTATTGTCAAAGTTATTCCATTTTTTTTTTAAACAATAAAAATGCTTCACCTGAACTAGCCTACATGAAAGCTACTGCAGTGCCAGCTGTGGAAAACAACCCCATCCTTCTGCTCACTGCTCCAGTCAACACCTCTTGAAGGCTCTTCCTGGGGAACGGGTCCTGCAGGCACAAGGCTGGTAGCCTCGGTGCCTAGAGCCACGCTGCAGCAGAGGACACTACAGCAGCACAACACGTGGACACTGGTCCACCAGAGCTTGAAATGGTCTGAGCTGACCCGGCTCACCTCGCAGAGACCTGACGAGGGTCTCTGTCAGGTACAGGAGTCTGCATGAGGCAGGGCCCACTGTCACAGGTCTGAAAAACTGATTTAAAGCCTAAGCTAGCTTTTGGGCTTACACATGCAGACCCAATGGACTAAATACACCTTTACTGAGCTAAACACTTGCTCTGTTTCTCACACTTGTGAGGAGAAAAGTTGGTGTTATTCAACAGCATTAGAAAGATAAATAACAAATTCACACTGTACTGACTGGTAAATGCTAGGTTGGGTTGAGTTTACCTGATCAGCTACCCCTCCAGGGAGGATAGTTTTAACTATCACTCCAGTCGACTTTCCGCCCACTATTCCAAATCCCAAGCCAGAGCCATCGTTCACCAACTCAATAGTCTCCACATGCTGCCAATGAACCTAAAATGAATAAATACAAGTTCATAACTGATTAAAATAGGGGCAAAAATATGGAAAATTGACAAAACATTGGTGGAAACATGGGATCTTTTAAACAATTACATGAGGTATAACTGTCCATAATATTCAGCATAATACATTGTTTACTCCATCACAGCTGGAATTTCTGTGGTAAAAAAATGGAGTTGAACAGTGGACCTTCCTCTCAAAAACCTAACTGGTGAATTAATGGTGAATTCACCACTATGAAGCAGCCTAGGATTGTGAACATTAATGCCTGACTGGGATCAGTGACAAAATGCTGCTTGGAATATTTCTCACAGGACCGATCATTCAGATACATGCTTGCTCAAACTGGAAATTATAAAAATACCCCCAAAAAGCATAAGCCAAATTCACAGATGGAACTGAGTTTGAAAGCAGCACTAGAGATATTTATTTGCAAAATTGCTCCACGTGTAGCAGAAAAATATTTTTGGATTATCTGATGTTGACAGTATTAGAATGAAATAATTCTGGTGGCAGGCTTCATTTTGTAACAGAAGAGCAATTGCTCTGAAAGAAACACAAATGGTACTTACTATTCCATGGTACTGAACTGATTACTGGCATGCTTACAGGACTTCTTTGAGCATAAAGACAGATCACATCATAAATTAAGCTAAAATTTGAAAGTGGAATAGGCAGTCCATGAGGTAGGACCTTACATATAAGTACATACACTGAAGTAACCAAGGGCTTGCAAATTAAAAGCTCTGTACTTTTTTGGGTATCCATAGTCTTAGCATAAACCAACGATTAAAAAGAAAAGCCAGAAGGAAAAAGAACAGCTCAAGATAAGCTGCTTTCCACCGGCATTTGAAAGCTAAGAGACTATAAGGAAAAGATATCCATGAAAAATAAATTATTAATTAACAAAGGGGAGAGAAGGGGAGGGAAGGAGGGAGGGAAGGAGAGAAGGAAGGACGGAGGCAGGAAGGCAGGAAGGAAGGGAGGGGAGGGAAAGGAGGGAAAGAAAGAATCTGAAGTAGGTTTAACAAGAACTTTTTCATGAAACAGAAGCTGTTTACAGATAACGAGGAAAATCAAACTGAGAAAGAAGTCTATAACCAGAATACTGAAAGAAAACAGGCCTTTTCATATGCTGGCACAAAGTTTTAAGTCATTTCATGTGTATAAATCTTCATTTAGAGGAAAATAACCATTTTCAGTCTCACTAACTACTTTATGTTAATGGTTAACATAAACAATAAAATATTTGCTTTTTCAAGACCTCACATATACCACTTATTTCAAATTCTTTGAAATAAAAGCCCTAAGTGTCTGTAGGCAAATCTTGCTACAGGAACAGAAGATAAATTATTGCATCCCAGGGCAAGCAAAAATACACAGTCCATTACATGGGAAAGAGACCAAGAGAAATCTACATTTAACATCATCCTGGTTTTGAACCATCTTTTCTGTATCTAGAAATACTACCTCTTTCAAAAGAAAGGAGAGCTGCGGGTTCTGTCTGCTGGGTCTGTGGGTCCTGACATGTTCCCACTGCACATGGTATTTTGATGGCTCTCTCTGCTGCTTTATTTGAGAGCTATCTTAAAAGACAACAGAGGAACAAACAGAAAAGCACCTGTGCAGCTGGTGGTGCAGATTAGATGGCAACGCATCCAAAATTTCTGCTTGCCAAAGCAGAGAGAGAAGAGAGAAAAAGATGCTGTTTACTGCTACCTCCAAATAAAGCTCTAAAATGGAAGGCAAACACGCTCTACTTGCATTGGTGGATATTGAGAGTTTGGCAGAAGGCGAAAGGAATACGGCCAAGATACAGATCTCCACAGCAACCCAAAATGTTTTCCATTATTCGCATGGAAAATGTACAACACAGATATATAGAAGGAAAAAAAAAAAAAAAGGTCAAGAATTGTGGAGAAAATGCACATACAGCTTACAAAAAATGTCTCAAAACAGTAGATGCAATCAGTGCACTCATGCCCAGAACTGAATACAGACAATTTGGGGTATACTCACCGGGTTGGAATGGGCTGAAACTGTGCTAGCAGCAGATGGAGAGCGGGAAACTACAGGACTGATGAGCTGAGGGAAAGTGCCTCTGGCCACAACTAGCTGGACATTATCTTTTGCTTTCTGAAGGATGCTGATAGCCTGTTGATGAGTAATTGTTTGATCAAGAGCTTGTCCATTGATAGCCAGGATTTGATCTGCTTCCTTCAGCTTTCCATCTCTGTCACATACGCATAAAGAGTGGGGGAGGACAACAAAAGAAACAAACAAGAAAGAAAAAAAAAAGTGTTGTCACAAAAATTATAATATTTTGACAATTTTCCAATATTTTTAATATCCGGCTCTCTATTTTCCCCCCTTTTTAATCTCTCCCTGCAGTTTTGCTACAAGGAGCTGCAGGGCACCCTGGTGATTGCCTCCTTTGAAGCTAATCCCACTGCCACTCTCCTCTGGCTGCTACCCCCTAGACAGCTTTCTTCTCCTGGTATCCCCATCCGAGACTAAGCATATTAGATCTCAGTCGGTCCTAACCACTGCCTGGGAACTTATGTTTATTCTTCACTCTGAGCCTCTTGCTTAGCAGACCAAGGGCTCTACTTTGTTCAGTGCCCCCATTCTGAAAATTCAGCAAACCGTGGAGTGGAACACACTTTCATCAAGATGTTAGGGAAACTAATTTTGTTTTGCACAAAATAAAAAAATCCTTTTTAAATTAAAAAAAAAGAAAGAAAGAGGAATAAATTAAAAGACAATTCTTCACTCACTGATAAAGGAAGCACTACTGTAAAATCACATACTGAGCCTTTCCCCAGATCTACTTCAAAGGAAGGGTATGAACACACACGGGTTACCCTGTGACTTCTCCCCTGCTTATATTACTTCTGCATCAAACAAGCAAAGACGCTGGAGGTCGCATGTTCAGAATCACCAAGCTGCAATGCTTGATGAGACAAAGGCCAGCAACAAAAACAAGTGCCTATTGCACCATCCTTTATGTGCAGCTATAGTACGGATGTGAAAATACTCATTTAGGAAAAAAAGCTATATAGATACAAGCTGCAATATTTTGTTTGTGATTTGTATCATCTTTCTGAGTGCTCCAGATTTATTTTTGCCCTAGATTTTTTTATTGATTCAGCCTATAGCATTTGTTGAACAGGTCTGTTCTCACGAGAGAATCAGGACAAGATTGGTCTTAGATATGCCTCAGGGTAGATATTGATAAGTATCTACAGACATGGTCTCTGCAGAGTAAGAGGAGCAAAAGCAAAGACCCTTTGAAGAGAGAATAAAAACCTGAGAAATAAAAGGGTACTTCAGGCGAATTAGACCATACCATAACGACATACAGCAAGCTGTCTTTCTTTAGCTGAGTTAACTCTGTAGGCCATGCTCTCCACTCTTGAAATGACAACATTCATACCCAAATCATCAGAAAGCTACTCCCTTTTGGAGTGTGAGAAACAGCATGGAGGTCATTCCTTGGCCCCAGCGCAACATGCTGATGATACCACATGAGCTCTAACAGCCACCAGGAGCCTGACCAGCACAGTCACACACTGCATGGCAACACATCAGTCTACAACGGACTGGCTCTGCTGCTACAGGCAGTTCTTC